GACAATAATGACTGCCACATCGACCGAGAAGCGAAAACCGAAAACATAGTTGTATCATCAGGACCGGGGACTGCTCGGCCAGCCCGTAGAAATAAGTTGTATAAGTTAGCCACAAGTAATGGCAATTTATTTTTTCAGTATAACAAATGCTTATGTACTTTTTGAAATTAGAAGGAATAAAATGAAGTCCTTTTGTTTTTATCTTGTTTCTTGTCTGAACAATGAATTAACTTTGTCATTTGAATGTTAAACTAGTACTTCAAATGCTAGTGACGTAATAAACATGAGACGTCCTCTTCAAGAGCACCGTAAACATAAGAGGGCCCTCTCTTATAAAAACCCTCATGTAAAAGGGTTGATTTCAGAAGAACTCATGCCTGGAATCAAAATGCTTTCGGGAAAAATACACCCAAGGCTTCACATAATAAGACGCAAACAGTAAAACTTACACTATTAAGCAAAAAAGAGAGAATGCAAAGAATAAAACTTGCATAAATGTTCAAACAAAAGAAAGACTCAAACAATACTTGAGCAAAAATATGTTTTTATTTACAATAACACGCCAAAATGGCACAGATGCAAGAATTGAAAAAAGAAAAAAAAAGCTAAACTGCAGCATCTCGGGAACCCGGAGGAAGAGAAGTGTTTGAGCCCCCAGGGGAAGTGGATAGATCTACCGATGGCTCAACATTTTGGGCTTCAACATCTTCGTCTTCCGCTTCCTCTTCAGTTCCCAAAGTTTCTGAATCGGAAGCAACAGGCTCAGCCGGGAGACCATTTTTAGAAGCCAACTCAAGCTCACGGGCCTTAGCAATTTCAGCATCAAAGTCAATGATACCATCTTTGGCCTCTTCCAAGGTTTTTCTTCTCATGTTGTACATAGCGTATGTTTTCTCAAGGACAAGGGAAGTCGCTCGACGCTTAAGTTCTTCTTTGAGTTGGGTTACCTCAGTAGAAAGGCTTTCCCGGGCGGATCTAATGGATCTAAGACTAACATCAAGGTCGCGGACAGTTGAACCAAAGAGCCTATTATGCTCGATGGTTTTCCTATACTTCTCCTCCAGCTAGGCATGTTTCGTCCCCGCAGCAACAAGCTCTTCAGTTTTGGAGTTCAAGGCTGCCTCTAATTTAGTCAATATTTCAGCGAAGGCAGCCTCACGATCCGATGCAGTAAGAACAACATTATGAACTTCAATCCATTTGGCCTTAGCCTCTTCAAATTTAACCCTCAGAGGGGCAGTCTCTTGGCTAAGGGTCTGCTTCTTGCTCGCTTTGCTGCAAACAAGCCTCCAATACAACGACCTTAGTGGCTTTGGCTTCCAGCTATGAGAGGCGAGCGACACTTTCCTCCCGCTTTTCCAAAAGCTGATCCCGTGCGGAGGTAATTTCTTCCTTCTCATGGATCAACCTCTGAAGGCCGTCGGAAAAAAGAAAGTTGGCCTACAAAGCAAGAAAGGCAAAACTCAAGATATGATCAGGCAAAAATAAAAGAAATAACAAATGAAGAAAGAAATGTACCGCTGCGGCGTTGTGCATGGTGTTGTTCAACAAACACTCTCCTGAGAGTGCCTGAATCTTTACCCAATCTTTCTCTGAAGCCAAAGGCTTCAAAAAATTAGCAAGCTCCACCAACCGAGATAGCAAGTTGCATCCGGTAGAGACCGAAAGAGTAACATTCCTCCTCCTTTGTGGATCTTCAGAAGGGGCAGCATAATTTTTCCCCAATATCCCATGAACTGGTGACTGGGGAAGAGGAACACCTTCTTCGTGGTCAGGTGTGACCGGTGGAGATGATGTAGCAGTTGCTGGTGGAAGAGTGGATGAAGGTAAAAATGATATAGCAGTTGCAGGTGTTTGTGAAGATGGAGTTGAAGAGAGAGAAGCAGCTGCAGCAAACACAGTGCTGATTGTTGTTTGCTCATCAGCCGAGGACGAAAAGGACCCGGTACTCAGCCCCAAAATATCGGACGTGACGACTGGGATACGGAAGCAAGAGTTGGCATTATTCTCCAATATCATATTCCTCCCAGAGCGCCGAGACATCGTCCTCAGATGGTCTAACTAACTCGACATGTTGAGCATTCTGTTGAGTTGATGAGGATATTCACCTTCTATGTAGAGAAGCTCCCCCATCACTAGCTTCTCCATCATCGTCGATCATCACAGTGTCTATGACCGGCCCGGGAGGAGGGCTAGTCACCACAACTACCGGAGACTACTTGGGGCAACAATCTTCGCCTTCTTATTCTTTTCCTCGGCCGCGGAAGAGCCTCTTCTTTTCGGTTGTTTGTCCTCCGACCGGGGATTCCGTAAAGAAACACTTATGCCCGAAGCAGGCCCGGAGACACCTGTTCGAGTAAGCGCCTGCTGAAGCAGCCTCTCCGCATCAGTAGGATCAGCCAAAACATCCTCTTCGGGGACAACAACAGAGCCCTCGAGTAGACTAGATTTCAGAGAAAAGATAGAAGGGGTCAATCAATTTCTTCACATAAAAAAACTAAAACAAGGTGAGTCTGAGTTACCATGGTTTTTGGCCTTCCACCCGTATTTAAGGCCTAGTTCTTTCCACGTGCGGGTTTCAGGCATAGTGAGATCCAAGATCTTCTGGACCCACTGGTCCAAGCCTTCAACCATCGGTGGGACCCACCGAGTTGCTGAAACAGGCGAAAGATAGAGGATCAATACAGGTATAGAAGAATACCTAATAAAAGAAATATTAAACAAGGAGCTTACGAGTACGGTTCTATGCTTTCAGAAAGGATGAAGCTGTTGCCAGAATGATGTCATTGGTGGCAACTGCAACAAACCGTTCCATCCACCCACGGTCGTTGTCATCATCCATGTTAGATAACATAGCATGGTGGACACGTTTGCTTAAATTTATCATTCTCCCGCGGAAGATTTTGGGGGAATAAAGATTCATCACATGAGCTAAAGATAGCTCCTCTCCCGTCTCTTGGCACAAGCGCCGAAGACAGGCAATCATCCTCCACACAGAAGGACTTACTTGTACCAAACATACCTGATAGCGGAGGAAGAACTCCACAATAATGGAGTCAAGCTCTCCACTCAAAGAGAACGCACCCAAAGTAAAGGGATACGTATAAAAATATGTAAAACCCTCCTTGGGAAGGGTCACTCGCTCCGATAGATCAGGAGCAACAATATCCAAATCATGGCAGCGGCAGTCTTCCTTCACGACAGGAAGAACGGATGGAAGAAGGATATCTGCCAATAGCCCATGTGCGAGGGAGAGCGAAGGGAATTTATCTTCGAAGTCTTTTGTTGTAACAAGACTTCTCGGAATGATGGAATCCACCATTGGAGGAACAGCATCCTCAGCTTTGTTCTTTCCCTTTGAAGAGCTAACGTTCTTTGAAGAAGAAGCCATTTGGATGAAAGAAAAGCTTTTTTGTTTGAAGGGATTTAAAGAAAGGTTTATTAATAGCAAGAAAGGTTTTAGAAAACTTGGAAAATTATGGAGTATAAGGGGAGAAGGTTGAGGCGTATAAGTAAAAGTTTTGGCGGCTAAATTCATGACCATGATTACCTCGATAATCGGTAAAAGCTGGGATGACGCGTGTTTGGGGTATTAAATGCGGAGAGACGTGTGTCTAGTCAACCGTCAGAAGCCTTCAGAGGGGATCATAGTAATTCCCGCCAAAAGAGTGTTTCTACCAACTTCCTGGTGACACAAAGTTATGTCACCGGAAAGCAATGGGACTATCTCTATAGGGTAAAATATGATATGCTACGTGGCCACCAAAAAAAGGGACACGTGAAACCTAAGACGAGCCATAGCCAACACTGAAGGCAACGGTCTCATCTGTTACCGAAAAGAATAACGCTCTTAAGGATGCAATAAATACTCTTCGCCCGATAGCATTTAATGGAGAATGTTCCACAACGTTAAGTGTGTTGCCCATTACAAGGAATTTGATATTTATGCTCACCATTACATCTTCATCAGTGACCTCATAACTGACATTAAAGAAGGGCACGATCCTAGGACCACCTTTCCTAGACGTAGCTATAAATAGTGAGCTTTATTATCATTGTAAGGATACAAATTTTCTAGCAAACTAATACTACAATCTACTCAAAGCTCTATTCAATTTTATCTTCTTATTTTCTATTCTTGTTCTTATTACTGTTGCGCCCGGAGGCTTCACTATCAGAGTCTTTATTTCTGTCATTTCGTCTTCCTATCAAGGCTAAGTGTTATATATTTCTTCAATTATCTTGTTATTTCAGGATCAAATTAATTCACTTGTCTAAAAACCACGTATAAATTCAACTATACCATTTTACGGGTAAACAAATATAACACTACTTGGTCTATTTCATCGAAATTCTCTTTGTAAATGGTCTTGTAAGAACCAAATTAATTATCATATAAATCAACTTTATTTTACTATAATCTGTAAATAAAATTTCAAACTCACTCGTTATTAAGAGTTGATCCTGTAGCTCATTATTTTGGAGTACCATTTCTCTATATGTCTATCCCGTACACATATAAATTAATTAAAATAATAATAACTCGCTTGAGGAAAAATAACTCAAAGTTTATTTTGTTCCAACAACTTGCGATAATTATATGGAGTCTTTTAAACATAAAAAAAATATTTTTAAAGCTAGCAAAATTTTATGGCTGCTACATCCTCTTCCACTTAAAAATATTCGTGAAATCTTATGAACACGTCATCTTTATGTGGTCTCGTCTTCCTATACTTCAAACCTCACGCGCTTCTTCCGAGCCATTTGGATCCAACCAACTCTCATTCCATTAATGCAATATGTGTCTCAAGAATCTAATTCGCAAAACCTTAACGATAGTTCAATATGAAACGAGTGCAACCTTTTCAGGTAAAATTTATATTTATCCCATATGAAAACCATGCTCATCTTATCAAGTCTCTCAAGCTTACCGAAATCTCAAAAGCATCTCTCCTGTAATTGGGACTAATACCATTTTTATACATGTCTTATAGCAGCTAACAACAACATCCAATGGTCACAGTTACATGCTATGGAGTTTCAGGCGACTCCAGGTGATCATATACAATGCAACAGTTATAAGACTAGGACTTAAATAACGACATAGCACAAAGGTGTGAACATATATGTATGAACATTATTACAATCTGTGGCGTCAACACATAGAGTCTAATAGCCACATCTAATTTTCTATAATACTTGCCCCAACTTCTTGCTCATTATAATTTTTTTCCACTTCAACTCTGTCAAAGATGAATGATTAGTTCAATTAAATATTTTTCTTCCAGAAACAGTCCTAATTGTACTCGTTATAAGCAACTTTACACTTAAAATATCTGAAGCAAGGCATCTACATATTTCACATGTAGTAATTACCATGGACAAATGTCACTTTGAAGATTAAAATAATTATAGAAGTACATTAGTCTCCAAGTTATCATTTTAAAAAATATGCACCAATATACAATTTCCTTTCCAAAAAAGAGAAAACCAGTGACTACATCGTCTACTCAATAAAGTCTTGCAACTAATTTCACATCAGAAAAAATTCACGTGTCTTATAGCTGGTCAGTGTTTGGTGCAACTTAATTCGTAATCATGAAATCTCTATACAAAAATTCCTCTAGCCCATTTCCAATATAAATTTAATGTAATGATGCTATAGCACCACACTTTGGTCCAACCTATAGCACAACTGAGCGATCCTTTAACCATGCAGTTATTATCGACTTAATCTAATTAACTTTCCCTGTCACGTTAACGGGTTGTCCCCTGTAATGGATGCACATGAGTTATCCATCTTGGCTACGTTTGTGGTCATCTACATGACAAGAAGTTTCTGCCTCTTCAACTCTTGTGGCATGGACATCGTCACCTTCCTTCCCAGAGATAGATTTGTTCAATCGTCACAAGATTTCAAAGATATTTGTAAATGTTCTTACACGTGGACATTAATAACTTTCTATCATTTTCTTCCTCCACTGGACATGATCCTCCTTATTGGACCAATACCATAAAGGGATCTTACTAGGTTGAGAACTTTCCTTTAAAGGAGCAAGTAAGTTATCGGTATTCACATATACCTCGTAGGAACGAAATTGACTTCGCAAAGTCATAACTCTATAGTTTGAGTTCTTGTTCATACTCCATATATATTTTCTCTAATATCGTTACTTGAATCGAAAAATGGTTTTCTTAAAACTTCATTTGTCATTCATGTTGATCATCAAAATATCTTATCAATATTTGCGACTATCTTTCCAGCCCATGCTGTACTAGATACAATTATCAAATATAACTATTTGCACTGAATACTGTATTGGATAACATTCGTGCCAACTTATTTCAAGTACTCGAACTCTCTTGATAGTCCATCTTTTTACCACGGTATGTTTCAGTCTCACAGCTTAACGTCATACTCAATCTATAACTTTTAACAATCCGCGCACAATCGTAAAGCATACAGACGTAAAATCTCATACGTTATGCAGAATGCATATCAATACAAAAATCATAGTGCGGGATCCCTCGAATTCCCACACATTTTACCCAGACTGTAATCAATAAATATGTATTGGTGTGCCGAGTCTCATACTCAACCTCTTATTATGTTGGTTCATTAAGCATTAAGCCTTATTCTCTCGCAATAGCAGAAATTCATACACAGACTATCACCATTAACAAGTTTTACATCATGCAGTGCCACTATCACACTTATACTGAGTGCACTTGGATTATGCATGCTTACGTTATAGTTACACTTTACCACCACGCAATCACTAATAATAGCTATTCACTTCAAGAAGCATTAAGCTGAGAACCGTATAAGCTCTTTCCTCAAAATTCTTTCACCACCAAACCGAATATCCTAGACGTGGCTAAACTATTATACTTCTTACTTTCCCGCTTAATTCTTTCCTTTTCCTGATCACACTCATAATATAGAGTTTTATCCACAATCCATGATATTAAATTTGCGTTTAGGCAAAACTCATATCTTTAGGTCACTTTGCCATCCACACGGATTCTCAACGTTCAAAAATATGACTAAACCCAATCTTCTTAAGAAAAGCAATTCGGCAAGAATTTCATTGAAAATAAAGTTATCCCAAAATTTATAACTTGTCGGACTCAACTACAATTAATATACACAGCATCCCACATACTCAAGGCCACTCTTAGCTTCGCATATATAATTCAAACTTCCAAGTCAATTGTATCGTCTAGAGGAGGATACGCGTGCCCTAGCCGTGGCGAAAGAAACATCCCATGTTTAAACTCAATTCAACTTAACACACGAATAAGGAATGAAAGAATGGAAAATACCCTGGATATTCAGTAGCCTCAAGGTTATAAGTATGGACGTGTACATACCCATAAACAAAGACTCTATCAAATATTGCTCCATGACCCGGGACTTAAAGCCTAAGTTCTGATACCAATTTTGTCACATCCTAAAATACCCCCTAGATGTGACTGACACCCAACTAACACTACCTGCCCGGCGAACCAGCTTATACCATACACTTAGCATTTATTCAAAACTCAACCTCTTATAAATGCAAGTTCCTAACATTTCAATAATTAAATGTGAATGATGAATAATCCAAATTGTTTCATAAATATTTATGTATAATAATAACCAAAATGGAGGAATAACACTTTAGCCCAAATACCACTCTAGACCATGGAGCATCTAAGAGAATTATAAAAGACTCAAGATCGGGTGAGTAAACCCCAAAATAAAAGACATTATATAAATAAATAATAAAGACTCTTTTGGTAGCCTCCACGAACAATGTTGTGGCTCACCTCAATAATTAGATGAACTCTAGCGAACTCGTCAGCTACTAGCTATGTCGTCACGAATAGTATCTGCATCGACATGCAGGTAAGGAGTGAGTTATACTTGAATATAACCCAGTAAGATCCTCGATCCACCACTTTAAATACCGCTAAAATAAGTGTCAGAAAATACAAACACACCAAATCGAACATGATATATAATACATACGACAATTATACAACAATGCAATAATATGTATCAATAGAGTTAACAAATATTAACCAATATGAATACACATATCTCAACACAATACACACCAAGGACTTCTCATAAATGGCGGTGAAGCAAATTAACTAACACTCCGACGAGTCCATGACGGCACCACAATGCCTCAAATATATGACGGAGCATACACAATACCCACTGAAGCATACACAATGCCACAATAATATCAAGAAGCATACACAATGCTCCAACATAATCACACACAGTCGTATCAAACCATCAAATCCAACATCATGGCTCACAGCCGTATCAAACTATCAAACCATCAAATCTAACATCATGGCTCACAACCGTAACACACCATCAAACCCAATGCCATGGCTCACAGCCGTATCACACCATTAAATAATTTATACAATAATTTTTAGTATTTTTCATAAAATAATATATTTGCGGCTAGTCAAAGAATACCGATTCTACCAAGCACACACTTATCCCAACACATGGACCAGGAAGACGAAACACATTTTCACAATGGATTTTGGAAAAGCAAGCATCAAAATATAGAGTCTCACTTATCTCTCAAATAACAAGTCCTCCAACCTTGCGACGTTAAAAAACCAACCAAACTGTCTCCAAGGACCTCAATCTATAAAAATATTGCTTAACGATGTCAATTACGCTAGTCGGAGTTATTTCATAATTTGTGGAATGTCAAATAAAAGTCAATTCCCTTTAATATGGTCAAATCCCCGCGTGTTCGAGTTACCCATAGTTGAAGAATCCAAATCTATTTTCAAGTTTCAATTTTTATGTAATTGATGGGTCAGCTCTCAATTCTGCTATACTTTAAGCTTAGAGCTAAGTCTCAATATTCTATACCTTAATATATGAGTTTAAAGGTAATTTCACATATTTCAATATCAGAAATTACACCCAATATCCAATAAACAATTCATGTTTAATAGTATTCATGTTCTAAAGTAATAATTATAACATAAAAAGTACTCAAATACCTTATGACATGCCGACTGCACAACTGAAATAGGAGTTTTTCAGTTCCTTTTCATTGATCACTGACGCAACATAGATTGGTCCTTATTACCCCAAATTCTACTTAGTTGATGATGATACCAAGTGTTATACAAGTAGCATCTATAGTCTTTTTTCCATTTCAGTTTCTCCGTCTAATGATTTTCGATAATTCCCTTTTTGTGTGGTTTTAGTTTCGTAGGAACCAAGACCTTATTTACTCTTCTTCTATGTCCAGGTCCTTATAATACGTGGGCCAGCAAGAATAACATGGATTAGCCTAATACTTCATCCTTATATATTATCCTGTGATGACCCGATAGGTCATCTTGAGATTTAGCCTTTATTTTTGTATTTCGAGACCTCGATTAGCTCCGTTTAATATTTCTCAATTTGCGTGCGCAGTCCGCATCCTAATCCGGAAAATCTTTATGTGAAAATTGAAGAAATGTGAAATTTTGCCTTAAAAATGACTAGAGTTGACTACGGTCAACATTCTGTACAAACTGACCCGAATAAATATTTTAACGGTCCCGGTAGGTCCGTATCGTGATTTGGAACTTGGGCGTATGCCCGGAATTTAATTCGAAAGTCCCTAACTTATTTTGACTCATTTTGCCGAAATCTAGCATTTTTGAAAGTTGGAAATTTCTATGTTTGACCGTAAGTTGACTTCTTAGCTAACGGGTTCGGATTTTGATGTTAAAACTTGAAATAGTTCTGTATTGCTATTTGATACTTGTTTGCAAAATTTGGTTCAATTCGAAAATTTATTTGACATGATTCGGACGCTTAAACGTGATTCTAGTGTTATTGAATTTCACTTTGAAAGTTCATTCGTTTTGAGGATTGATTCGTAGATTTAGATGTTATTTTGGTGATTTGATTGCGCGAGCAAGTTCGTATGATGTTATTATAATTGTGTCCATGTTTCGTTTAGAGACCGAGGGGCTCGGGTAAATTTTGAATAGGCAACGACTTGATTTTTGGACTTTGGAGATAATTGATGCCTTCTCTGTTGCTGGTGTGATCTGCAGATCTCACATTTGCAAAGTCTGGCTCGCAATTGCGAGCCTAGCTTTCGCGAACAAGTGTTCGCATTTGCGAGCATGGGCTGGACTGGGTGGCCTCGCATTTGCGAGGATAATGTTCGCAATTGCGAAAGAACAGTAGCCGCTTTTGCGAAGACAGAGTCGCATTTGCGACTCAGTGTGTTTTTGGGTTACCTTCGCATTTGTGAAGGATTGGTCCGCATTTGCGATGGCTGGGAGTTCGCATTTGCGAACCAAATGTCGCATTTTTGACTTCTATAGCTCTGAGATAGGGTTAGCATTTGAGGTAAGTGTTGGGTCTAACCTTGATTCGAGAGAATTAGGAACCCTTGAACTACATGTTGTGTGAGTTACGTGTGAAATGGCGTATATGCGACGTGACAAGTGTATATGTGCCGTTACATTACTTGTTTCCCCGTCTTTGTTGCTTCATAGTATATCTTGTTTCATGCCTTAATTGCCACAAGCTTATTTGACTTTCATGCCATCTTCGCTACCTGCCATTTAGTATTCCTTATATTAGATTGTCCATTCCTTCCATAGTTTCATGCATATTTGCTACTTGTCTCTATTTGCTCTTCTTGCATATCTAAAGTGTCTTATGTCTTGCTTGTCTTATAGTTTCATAATATTTGTCGCCTTGAATAATGCAGTTTCATTTGTACGAGTTGTTAATTGGTAGTTACCATTGAGTTGGTAAAGTTGAGATATTCGAGTTGTTAGAGATTCTTTGAGTATCATGTTATTATCCAATTGTTTCGTACATTTGTTCTGTTGATGTAGAACTTCTTGTAAATCTTAGTTATTGAATTGCTATTGTTGATTGAAATTATTTGGGGAGCGGGTTGCACGCCGCAACGAAAATTGAAAGGTAATAAGTTGAAATAGTGGAATAAAGATGGATTATGATATTGGCAGTTGATGATATGGTGGGATCGGGTTGCGCGTCGCAACGGATTGTGCAAAGTTATATTTGTTCGTGACTGTTGGTTTTGCCTCGGTAATTGAGACTAGTTTATAGGACTTGTTATTCTGGACTCTCTGTTAGTTGGATTTGAGTTCATTGTTATGAATTAACTGCTTTACTTCCATTCCTGTCTTTTTTATTATTATTATTATTATTATTATTATTATTATTATTATTATTATTATTATTGCGTACAAGTTAATGTAAGTGACCCGCCTTAGCCTCGTCACTACTTCGTCGAGGTTAGGCTCGGTACTTACAGAATACATAGGTTCGGTTATAATCATACTACACTCTGCACTTCTTGTGCAGATACCGGAGTTAGTCCTAGCGGCGTTCAGTAGACTCGCTCGGATCCACCTGTCAGTGGAGACTTGAGGTATAGTTGCACGGCGTCCGCAATCTTGAAGTTCCCTTCTACTTCATTTTAGCTGTTTATTTGATTCGGATACTTATATTTATTTCAGACCATTATCTGTAGTATTTTAGACGCTCATGTATTCGTGACACCAGTTACGGGATTTGTATTTGGATTTCGACACTTATTAGCTTTTTGCCTTATTTCAGATTATACAGTTTCTTTATTGTCATTTAATTTGTAAATTATTAAAAATGATTAATAACTATATCTAACGTTAGCTTGCCTAGCAAGTGAAATGTTAGGCGCCATTACGGTCCCGAGGATGGGAATTCTGGATCGTGACATATCCAGATTTATTTTATTGCCCAACTAATATGTACACATGTAAATAGGTATAAAAATCACTTAAATAACTCACATCAGACACTTTATATTCCTCAATATACAAATAATATTGTTTTTACATGTAAACACATATCTAGGCACACACATGTAAATAATAATTATAATTATCTCTATAAGTATTTCTAATAACTTTATTAGAATAACTTTAATTAAGACACTAACTCAAGAGTCATTTAAAAAGAGTATCCATAATGTTATTTGCATGAATTCCACTATCTCAACAACTTCAAAGGATTAAATCGAGCGACGAAAACATGATAGTTATAAAGCGAATAACGAAATTTACGGGGCATGACACTCCTGGACCGGTAAAATAACATGTTAAAGTGTAGGCATTCGTAAAGTATGTTGTCATAGCTCAAATCGGTAATTTTATCAAAGGAATAGCAATTACCGAGTTTATTCAAGGAATTTACCTCTTCGTAACCTGAAACATGGCTCAAATAGTTCACAACAATGATACAAATATGAGAAACATTATGGCTTAAAGCTTAACAGTCAACTCTAGGCATAACAAAACGTAAGCACTACCCCGAGCATGGATAAATATCTCGGTGCTCGCACATGGGCTGAAACACCACACATATGCGCACTCATAACACGTAGCCATCACAAATAACTTAGGCAACTAGTGCCTCAACCAAGTTTATATAGGATACTTACCTCAAGCAAGTCAAATCAACTACTGAGCAAGTCAAACAGTACTTTATAAGATACATCCCGCATAAATCGACCTCCGAGCGAGTCAATTCTAGCCAAAACAACTCAAAAACATTAAATAATGCACAATAAAACAAACCCAATCGATAAAGGTAGAATCTTTAATCAAACACTCAAAGTAAACCAAAAACTCAAACCCCAGCCTGCACCTCAAAACTCAACAAAACTTATAAATTCCGACAATCCATTCAATTACGAGTCTAATCATACTACTTTCACTCAAATCTGACTCCGAATCGATGTTCCAAACTCAAATATTTACTTTAGGAAAGTTTAGCCAAAAAACCCCAATTTCTCTTTCAAAATCACCAATTAATTACAAAAAATCAAAGATGGAATCACGAAATATAATTAAAACCGAGTAAAAAATACTTACCCCGGTTCATGTGGTGAAAATCACCTCCAAGATCTCCCAAATCTTAGCTCCATACCTCAAAATATGATAAAATTACCAAGACCTTCGAAATAGAGTACTTTATAATCACTAAATATCAGTACTAATCGCGATCGCGAAGAACAAACGCCTCTGACACAAAATTTCCTTACGCGTTCACAACACAAAGCATGCGAATGCGATACGCACAGCTGCCAACAGTTCGCGGGCGTGAAACATAATGCGCGAATGCGAAGAAAAGACCCCAGCTCCCAGCAAACCAATGCGAACGTGATTTATCTATGCGAACGCGAAGCTCCAGTCCCACAGCATCCGCGAACACAAACCATTACTCGCGAATGCGAAGAGATAAAATAGCGCAGTCTAAATTTCCTCTTCATGATCGCGTCCAGTCCTTCGCGATCGCGAAGGACACCAACAACAATAGAAACCAACAATATAAACATGGAGAAAAATGGTCCGAAATCGATCCAAAGCGCCCGAGGCCCTCGGGACCCTGTTCGAACATACCAAAAAGTTTCAAAATATAAAATGGACCTACTCGAGGCTTCAAATCACACATAATAACATAAAAATAACGAATCGCACCTCAAATCAAACTTGATGAAAGTTTTGAACTTTTAACTTCCAAAACTCGTGTCGAACCATATCAAATCAACTCCGAATGACCTCAAATTTTGCACACAAGTTCCAAATGACATAATTAACATATTCCAACTCCCAAAACAACAATTCAAACCCGATATCATCAAGGTCAATGCTCGGTCAAACTTATCAGCGTTCCAAACCTTCAAATTTCTAACTTTTGCCAAATAGTGCCGAAACCTTCTAGAAACATCCAAATACAAATCCATGCATATGCCCAAGTCCAAATAACTATCTGGACCTAACGAAACCATCAAAACTCTGATCCGAGGTCAAATACACAAAAGTAAAACTTGATCAACTCTTCCAACTTAATGATTTCTAGTTGAGAATCATTCTTCCAAATCAAATCCAGAATCACCTGAAAACCAAAACTGAAGACTCACACAAGTCATAATACATCATATGAAACTACTCAAGATATCAAACAGTAGAACGGAATGCAAATGCTCAAAACGACCGGTCGGGTTGTTACATTCTCCCCCATTAAAACATACATTCGTCTGCGAACGTGCCAAGAGTCATTCCAAAGCTATTAAATAACTGTGTAAACTCACCACAGACAAACCCGGGGGTGATCTACCACATAACTCGCATGCTCATAGCAATAATTTTCGATCATAGTAGCTGCTCAGAAACAAAACTGGTACCGGTAATAAACCTCATATCAAACCTTCGTACACCATCGA